GGATATATCCACTGGGGACTGAAAACGATTTAGGATCCTAGGAAATGGTGAATTCTGCCTAGGTTTTTCAAAGTTGCTCTGTTGAGTTGCCCTTTAATGTAAAAGAGCAAAACTGTTTCAGAATTGTATTTTAACATTTCAGGACACCAAGAAGGCAAGAAGCCATAACACTGAAAAAAAAAGAAAAGAAAAACGCCCTGTTCTCTTCCTGTCTCTGTGGAAGGTACCAGAAAAAAAAGTGTACTCTGGTTTTATTACTGCTTTATATCATGGGCACTCCCTAGTATCAAGCGTTAGGGGAGGTGCTGGGGAAATTGTTCCATAAGCACAATGTCAAACAAGCCACTCAACAAAGTCTAGCCTAGAGTGAAAAAACGTAAAGGCAAGAATCCCAATGAACAAGCACTATTTTCTGGGTTTTCCAATACAGATCTCTGAAACCTGCATCTATTGTTTAAGAATAGGATAATCACGCCCTGGCCGGTTTGGCTCAGTGGATAGAGCGTCGCCCTACGGACTGAAGGGTCCCTGGTTCAATTCCAGTCAAGGGCATGTACCTTGGTTGTAGGCACATCCCCAGTAGGGGGTGTGCAGGAGGCAGCTGATCGATGTTTCTCTCTCATCGATGTTTCTAACTCTCTATCCCTCTCCCTTCCTCTCTGTAAAAAATCAATAAAATATATTTTTTTAAAAAGAATATGATAATCAAATGTACATATACAGGGTGTCCCCCAAAATGTATATACTTTAAGAGCTGATAGCTCAATTTTGAAAATGAAAGATATTTTAATAAGCACTGCCTTCATAACTGTTCAAAGTATGTGTATACATTTCTGAGGGGACACCCTATGTATATACTGTTTGATCCACTCAAGTACTAGGTTATTTATCCTACAGGTATACTTCCCATATAAGAAATACTATGTATAAAGCTATTCATTACAGTGTTTCTTGTGATCAGGAATAAATAACCTTAAAAAGCATCAATGGAGGACAAGTTAAATTTTGGTTCATCCACACAATGGAATCCCATGAAACAGATAAAAAGAATAAAGTAGCACTCATATACTAAAAATGGAAAAATTCCTAGGGTTAACTGAATAAATGGAAAGTATGCAGCCATGTAAACAGTATGTTACCATTTATATAAAGAAAAGAACAGAGCCCTGGCTGGTGTGGTTCAGTGGTTGGGTGTCATTTGTGTACCAAGAGGGAGATGGTTCGATTCCTGATCAGGGCACATGCCCGGATTTCAGGCTCAATACCGGTCAGCAAGAGTGCAGGAAGCAGTTGATTGATGTTCTGCTCTCACATGAATCAATCTCTCTCTCTCTCTCTCTCTCTCTCTCTCTCTCAGAACAGACACACATCTATGTGTGTGATGCATAGCATAGCTATGGCAATATATGCAAGAATCAGTGCCTCTGAGACAGAGAACTGGGGGAAAAGGGACTGAGGAGGTAAAGAGGCCATAATTGTATTAATTGATTATCACATGACTTACTATATAATTACATGTAATTATATAGTAAAAACTAGAGGCCCGATGCATGAAATCCGTGCAAAAGTAGGTCTTCCTTCCCCCAGCTGCCGGCATTGGCTTCCCTCACAGCCCCGGCTTCATCTGGAAGGTCATCCAGAAGGACATCTGGTCCAATTAGCATATTATGCTTCATTATTATAGATAGTAATGAGTACACATAGTGCTTTGCCAGGCAACATGTTCTAAGCACATTACATACTTACACTAATTCAACATGCTCCTTTTAAACTGTACAAAATTCAGGTACCTGTCTTATTTCACTAAATTATCAATTACTCGGCTGGTCCGAGTGCAGTGGTGTCTTACAACTAAATTATCAATTACTTGAGAGCATCAACATGACTTAAGCATTTTTACATCCTACACAAATGACAGTACAATATTTTCACAATATTGCTCTCAATGAACAGCAAAAGGAACCATCAACAAAATGAAAAGGGAGCCCACTGTATGGGAGAACATATTTGGATACATCTGATAAAGATTTACTATACAAAATATATAAGGAACTCATACAACTTAACAAAAAGAAGACAAACAATCCAATTAAAAAATGGGCAAAGGACCGAAATAGACACTTCTCCAAAGTGAACATACAGATGGCCAAGAGACATATGAAAAAAATGCTCAAAGTCACTGATCATCAGAGAGATGCAAACTAAAATGACAATGAGGTATTACCTCACACCTGTCAGAATGGCTACAATCAACAAATTAACAAATGGCAAGTACTAGCGAGAATGAGGAGAAAAGGGAACCCTAGTACACTGCTGGTGGGAATGCAGACTGGTGCAGCCATGATTGAAATGTGGAGTTTCCTCAAAAAAATAAACATTGGAACTGCCATTTGACCCAGTGATCCCACTTCTAGGAATATATCCTAAGAAACCCGAAACACCAATCAGAAAGAATGTATGCATCCCCATGTTCATAGAAACATAATTTACAATAGCTAAGATCTGGAAACAGCCCAAGTGCCCATCAGTAGATGAATGGATAAAAAAGCTGTGGTACATTTACACCATGAAATATTATGCAGCAGTAAAAAAAGGAGGATCTTGCCCTAACCGGTTTGGCTCAGTGGATAGAGCGTCAGCCTGAGGACTGAAAGGTCCCAGGTTCGATTCTGGTCAAGGGCATGTACCTTGGTTGCGGGCATATCCCCAGTAGGGAGTGTGCAGGAGGCAGCTGATCGATGTTTCTCTGTCATCGATGTTTCTGAGTCTCTGTCCCTCTCCCTTCCTCTCTGTAAAAAAATCAATAAAATATATACCCCCCCCCAAAAAAAGGAGGATCTCTTATCCTTTGAGACAGCACGGAGGGACCTAGAGAGTATTATGATAAGTGAAATAAGCCAGTCAGAGAAAGACAAGTATCACATGATCTCACTCATATGTGGAATCTAATGAAAAAATAAAGTGTTGAACAAAATAGTTCCAGAGACATAGAAGCATGGAACAGACTGTTGAATCTCAGAGGGAAGGCAGGGGTGGGTGGGAAAAGATCGGTCAAAGAACTGATATAAGAACATATATGCAGCATATATGCATAACCCAGGAACACAGACAATCGGGTGGTGAAGGCCTGGGGTGAGGGACAGAGGCAAGCTATAAGGGGTCAATGGGAGAGAAAAAGAGACATATGTAACAATACTTTTAACAATAAAGATTTTAAAATAATAATAATAATGCTCTCAAGAAATATGTACCACATTCATTTATTCATGCAATATCAAATATAAGAGAAACTAATTATCTTTAGCATTTAGAGCTGACTTAAAAGCCTAATGACCTTAATCTATAATTATCTTTTTATAATTGTTTTGTTCCGCCATGAAGTCGAGCCAAAACTCAAAAATAAATGGCTTTGAAAATGTGCTATTATACATACGTACAATTGTAACTGTGCTGAATACACTGGGGAGTCAAACAAGTTATTGAAGAAAAGTTGTCCAGTTTTCCCATTATTTTTCATTCCAAGAGAAAAACTGTATAATCAACACGCAGTCCTTTTTAAACTTTGAGTTCAGGAGAGTATTTAAGAATAAAAGATCTCCTACTAAGTTACATAAAGTGCTCAGCACAAATACATGAAGTGCTTCGCACAAGCCTGGCCCGTCATAAATCCCCATCCCAGCACAGCTCTTTCTCATTTCTTATTTGGAGGCTGCCAGCCTCACGGGAGAGAAAAGTCCTCCTGTCAATAACTGGGAAATCCATCTGTAAAAAAGCAGAGTGGGCCATGGAAGTGGGAGTGTTTTTCCCTTTAACAAGTCATTAAAAGTCATCAGTGCTATGAATCAGACAATGGGGCGTTGGGAGAAAAATTAAAACTCCAATTCTTAGATTTAAAAATTCACTTATTCAATCTAGTATTTTTTTCAAGTGCCACCTGGACCGGGCAGGCATTATGGCAGGCAATTGTAGTCCAAAACCTCATTTTATTAATTTAACATGCTTTATATTTTTTCTATTTTTAAAGTAAAATTTGCAGATATGGTAACAATGCCAAATCACATTTTAATGAAGTGATAAAATACTGATAGAAATCATTCTCTCTACAGATTTGACAAAACAATAAAATTTCAAATAAAATGAAGGAAACCAATACAGGATTGTATTTGTTTAAAAAAAAATTTTTTTCGCCCCACCAGTGTAACTCAGTGGTTGAGCATTGACCTATGAACCAGGATGTCAAGGTTCAATTCCCAGTAGCAGGCATTTCAATCTCCCTTTCCCTTCTTCTCTGAAATCAATAAAACAAGAATATTTGGGGGGGAAAGGTTTTCACTTAATTGGGTTCCCCCAAATTTCATATCTTGAAGTAATTTTTTATGTAATGATTTTAGAGAGGGAGGAAGGGAGAGAAAGACAAACATCGATTTGCTGTTCCACCCACTTATGTATTCACTAGTTAATTCCCTCAAGTGCCCCAACTGGGATCAAAACCTCAACCTTGGCGTATGGGGATGACGCTCCAACCAGCTGAGCTACCCAGCCAGGGCCAAAATACATATATTGACGTCCCAACTCCCAGTATTTCAGAATGTAACCTTTTTGAAGATAAGGTCTTTAAAGAGATGATTAATTTAAAAGAAGGTTGTTAGGTTGGGGCCCTTATCCAGTATGACCAATGTCCTTACAAGAAGTAGAAACACCAGGGATATACATGCACAGAGAAAGGCCATGTGAGGACACAGTGAGAAAGCAGCCACCTGCAAACCAAGGAGAGAGGCCTCAGGAGAAATCAAACCTGCAGACACCTTGATCTTGGACTTCAAGCCTTCAAACTGTAAGAAAATAAATTTCTGATCACTTGCTATATAACAAAAAAAATCTGGTAGGGATGTGTTTCCTCAAATTAATAACCTTTTAAATTTACAAGTATTGAAATTAAAGTCGAAATACCTATTCAGATTATTTTAAAAAAAAAAAAGTTGAATTCTACATTCATTATGAACTTTGGGAAAATTATTTATTTCATTCTATGGGGTTTAGACAAGTAATTTCACATTTCAATTTAAGTCCAGAGTCAGAAAACATTTCTTGTACATTCCGTACTAATAGAGATCATCATATATCAATGAAATTTTTAAATACAGAGATTGATTTTAAAATGGATTTCTCTAAATAGCATTTATCGGAAAACACACATAATACAATCCACTCTGGATCTAAGAGGCTTAATTTGTTCTAATATTAAAAGAACATTCTAAATTTTCTTTTAAATTTTCTTCTGAAATTTCTCTAATTTAAAAGACATATTGTGAGAATGGGTTCAAGGGTGGAGGAATCAATCGGTACTCAGCGATTCACAAACATGGCATATAACATGACATTTTAAAGATTTGGACAAAGACTGCATGTTGGCAGCACAGGCGGTGGTCTTGCTCACTCGCTCTCCCTCCTACTGAGCAGGGACATTTCATATTTCATAGTTTCTGAATTTCCTCAGGAGTTCTGAAGGAGCATCCCCAAACCAGCGGAAATGAAGGTGCCAACTGTTCACATCTGAAAAACCTTTGAAGGAGAGAAGAGAAGATTTTTAAATCAGAAGTGGGAACAAAGGAGTCAAGCTTGTAATAGTAGGACAGCTTGCTGGTGAGATTTCACTGCAATAAGTGAAATGTAAGGGTAAGTCTTTGGGATGAATTATTAATATCTTACAGAAACTGATTAACTTGGGCAGGATGTTGAATTCTTGTGAACAGGATTTATTTTATATGGATGAGAGGATCTCACATGCTTAAACTTAATAAAAAAAAGGACATTTATAATGCCTCCAAGTGCTGGTAATTTTGACAATTCACCTGCAAGGAAATTGGAAACAACTTTCAAACAGCTGCCAAAAATAAAAGGTCAATGGTAAAGGATTCTGGAGATACAAATAATGTATTCCATGAGAGTAAGATTTATTTTTTTAGAGTAATAAACAACTTTGTTGAAAATTAGATAAAAGGTCATTTTCCCTCTACTAGAGAAAATGTAAACTGACAAAACTATTCTGGGTAGGAAACTTGCAATATTTATCAAACTCATTAAAATGCATAAACACTAACCTTACAATTATACTTCTGAAAATTTATCTTAAGGAAATAATCACAGATGTGCTCAAGGGTTTTAACTATAAGATGTTTAACATGATACCTTTTATAAATGTTTTTAAAAATAAAAAAACAGCCCTGGCCTGTGTGACTCTGTTGGTTGAGTATCATCTCCATGCATCCCTAGGTCACCAGTTTGATTCCAGTCAGGGCACATTCCTGAGTTGCAGGCTCAATCTCCAGGAGGGGGCATGCAGGAGACAGCCAATCAATGTTTCTCTCTCTCCCTCTCCCTTCCTCTCTAAAAATATCCATAAAACATATTCAAAAAAAAAAAAAACATTCCAAGTATTCAGCAATAGAAAGTTGGTTAAAAGGCTGTGATATAGTCATTAACAATTTTTAATACTTACAGTCATATTAAAATGCTCATAACATACTGCTGTGACAAGTAGTTAGAAAACAGTGTGATCCCATTTTTTTAAAATATGTTTTTATTGATTTCAGAGAGAAGAAGGGAGAGGGAGAGAGATAGAAACATCAATGATGAGAGAGACTTATCAACTGACTGCCTCCTGCACACCCCCTACTGGGGATCAAGCCAGCAACTCGGGCATGTGCCCTGACTGGAAATCAAACCATAATCTCCTGGTTCATAAGTTGACACTCAACCACTGAACCACAACAGCCGGACTCATTTTTAAATTTCTTATTTACGTGGGTATTTCTATAAGAAATGTTCAAAGTCTATAAGGAATTACCCCTAATTGTTAACAGTAGTTATCCCTGGATAGCTGGAATAGATGTAATTTTCATTTTTTAATGCCCTTTTCTGTTTATTTGTGTCTTCTTATTTTTCTGCAGTGAATAAGTATGCCTTTTGTCATTTTTGTTGTTTATAATCTACTTATATAAAAACCATGGGGGGTGTTCATCACGACCACAACCACTGCGACCAAGCGGAAAGAAGTCAGTCCTGCAGGGATTGTCTTGGCAACAGCTGCACCCTCCCCCGAGCTGTTTCCTGGAGCTGTTTCCTGTAAGGGCGGGGTTTGAGGCAGGAACCTTCCCTGGGAGCCTGGAGGCATATCTTTTCTAAAGTGTGCTACGCCAGCACAGCCAGGGTGAACCTGAGTGGGGGCGGCTTAAAGGTTTAGAAAAGACAGACAAGAGAATGAAAGCCGGGTATCGGTGGGACACTGCTTCTCTGAGAGGCAGTGACCATGCCCACAGCCATGCCTTTATTTTATAGCAGATGCTACAAGGCAAAGTAAGGGCGGGACCAAGATGTTTACAACATTCTCCTGGGTTTCAATCCTACTCAACTACATGCCTACATCACTCAGGCATGTGGGGCCACTTGTTTGGACCATAGGTTCAAGCTTACAACTACAGCTGTTGGCTATAATTGTGCTGGGAGGGCCCTGCTCTCCAAGCTGGGATTTGCACGTGGCAATGAGAGGACTGTACCCTTTCATCAGTCCAAGGCTTGAATCTGTCCAAAACACTGTAGCGGCTCCCCAAAATAAAGTTTTAATTCTGCTTCTTTGTTACTGATGTTGTGGCCCCACCCCATAACAAAGAAACAATTTCCAGAGGATGAGGCCCAGGAATCAGGATTTTAAAAAGATTCCCACATGATTCTAATGTGCAGCCAAGGTTGAGAACCACTGCTATAGATAATATTAAAAATATATCTAAACGTGCAATTCTTTGTCCAAAAAATGAGCATGTTCAAAAATTAAATGAAGAAAATTTGGATATACTCGATGGAGATTTTCACACATATTTGACTGATGATTCTATTGATTCCACAGATGATCCTGAAAAGGAAAATTTTCCCATTGAATTTCTTAATAGTATTACTCCTTCGGAAATGCCGTGTCATAAATTAAAATTGAAAGTGGGTACAATCATCATGCTATTGAGAAGTCTCAATTGTAATTGGGGTCTTTGTAATGGTACCATATTTATTATCAAAAGATTACGACCTAACATTATCGAAGCTGAAGTATTAACAGGATCTGCAGAAGGAGAGGCTGTTCTGATTCCAAGAATTAATTTGTCCCCATCTGACACTGGCCTCCCATTTAAATTGATTCGACGACGGTTTCCCGTGATGCTAGCATTTGTGATGACTATTAATAAATCACAAGGACAAACTCTAGACAGAGTAGGCATATTCCTGCCTGAACCCGTTTTCACACATGGTCAGTTATATGTTGCTTTCTCTCGAGTTTGAAGAGCATGTGATGTTACAGTTAAAGTTCTAAGTACTTCAGCACAAGGGAAATTAGTCAAGCACTCTGAAAGTGTTTTCACTCTTAATGTGGGGTACAGGGAGATATTAGAATAAGTTTAATCACTTTATCAGTCGTTGTTTGCATCACTGTTGTTTTTATATCATGTTTTTGTCGTTTTTATATCATGCCTCTGTTGTTGTTATATTCTTTTGTTACTGTTTATTTATTAATAAATTTATATATTATTTTCATATACATTTTACTAATTTCCTTTCATCTCTTCACATTTCTATTATAGGGCAAATAGCAATATTAAAATATCTCTGCTAATTAATTCCTTTTTAAAAAATATATTTTATTGATTTTTTACAGAGAGGAAGGGAGAGGAATAGAGAGTTAGAAACATCGATGAAAGAGAAACATCGATCAGCTGCCTCCTGCACACTCCCCACTGAGGATGTGCCCGCAACCAAGGTACATGCCCTTGACCGAAATCGAACCCAGGACCCTTGAGTCCGCAGGCCAATGCTCTATCCACTGAGCCAACCAGTTAGGGGAATTAATTCCCTTTTAATGTGCACAAATTTCATGCACCGGGCTACTAGTATTGCTAATGAAAATACAGGTTACAGAAAAATAAAATATGCTTCCATTGATATTTAAACGGTTATCTAAAAGTCTAGGCAGAAAAAATGTACACAGAATTGTGGACAGTGATTATCTCAGAAAAACAGGATCTGCTTGCACTTTCTTTAGAATTATCACAGAAAACAAATTTAAAGAATTTCCATTTGGAGAAAAAGCAAACAGGAAATTCTTTCTGACAACCTGTAATTGAAAAGCACACACAAAATATGGACAATGTGGCCCTTTTAGTTTTAAGTACACTAACATATAAAAATATACCAAAAGATCAGTGGTATGTTCTTGAGGTGGTAAGATTACAAGTGGTTTTTTCTCCCTTTTGCTTGACCACATCCTCTCACATCGCACCCGCTGCCAGGCAGGCCTCTGCCAGAGGAAGCCCAATGCGAGGCACACAGGCGGGCCCGGCCTGGGGGTGGACAGAAGCCCCAAGGACATGACTGCACAGCAACAGCATCTGCTACCTTTGACTTTTTTTTTTTAATATATTTCTTTATTATTTCAAAGAGGAAGGGAGAAGGAGAGAAGATAGAAACACCAATGATGAGAGAGAACCATTGATCGGCTGCCTCCTGAACACCCCCTACTGGGGATTGAGCCCGCAACCCAGGCATGTGCCCTTGGCCGGAATCGAACCTGGGATCCTTCAGTCCACAGGCTGACGCTCTATCTACTGAGCCAAGCTGGCTAGGGCTACCTTTGACTTTTTGTTTTTATTCCTGGATGTCACAGAAAACTATCTACACTAGTAAAAGACAAACATGCAAATTGACCGTACCTTTGCCATGGCTTAAGCCATGCCCACCGGCCAATCAGAGTGACCATATGCAAATTAACCCAACCAAGATGGCAGCCAGCAGCCACAGAGCTGGAGCAAGTAGGAGGCTTGGTTGCCCCAATGATGGAGGAAGCCAAGCTTCCTGCTTGCTGCATCAGGCTCTGAGCTCCACTCAAAGCAACAAAGTTTCAATTATAGAAGGTAAATAAACCCCAGATACTTGCTTTCAGCTGGCTGTGGCCACAGAACTGGAGCGAGTAGGAGGCTTCCCTCCCGCCCACCCTGGCTGGCTCTGAGCTCCTCTCAAGGCTACAAAGTTTCAATTATAGAAGATAAATCCCAGAATAAAAAAAGAAAAAAGAAAAAAAGGAGAGGGTGGGAGCTTCCGTCGCCGGGGGGCTTGGCCAGCCTGCAAATAGCCATCAGCCCTTCACCCAGGCTGGCCAGGCACCCCAGTGGGGACCCCCACCCTGATCCAGGACACCCTTCAGGGCAAACAAGCCGGCCCCCAGAGGGATGTCTGATTGCCAGCTTAGGCCCAATCCCCTGGGGAGCGGGCCTAAGCCAGCAGGTGGTCATCCCCCAAGGGGTCCCAGACTGTGAGAGGGCACAGGCCGGACTGAGGGACCCCCCCCCCCCCACCGAGTGCACAAATTTTTGTGCACCAGGCCTCTAGTTTGATTTTAAAAGAGTATTTATCAGAAGCCCCATTCATTGCATATTTAAATGGAAAGAGAAAAAGGTGAGATTGTCTCACACACTGGTTTGCAGATGCCATGGTCCATATTTTACAGGTTACAATGAAGTCAAGTGGATGACGGGGACTATTTGATGGCTCATCACATAAGAGCATCAAAAGGCAAACTCCAAAGTAAATATCAAGCATTGCTTGAGGAAATTAACAAGTATGCTTAAAAGCTATGTGAGCAGCCTCTCAGGGCTTAGTAAAGCTGACGTGAATAATATTTCTTAAATGCTGACATTATAAAAATTTACACTACAGTCAAATGAAATTATAAATAATCATGGAACTGCACTTCGGTATATCAAACTCCAACTTTAAGGCACTACTCAGAACAGCTAACAATATCTTAAACCACACTAAGAAATACTGGTAGGCCCTGGCCAGTGTTGCTCAGTGGTTAGAGTGTTGGCCCTCCAACCCAAGGGTCTCAGGTTCAATCCCTGGCCCCTGTTTTTCTCTTTTTCTCTCCCCCTTCCTCCCTCCCTTCCACTCTCTCTAAAAATCAATGGGAAAAATATCCTTGGGTGAGGATTAACAGAACAAAAACAAACAAACAAACAAAACAAAGAAAATACTGGTAAATGCAACCTTTGGCAAAATTTCATGATTCTTATTCTCCAACAAACAGCTCTCAGAACGAGGATCCTTCCTCCTCTCACCCCCTCCACTTCATTCACAATTTATCCTGATTGATATATCTGCGCTGTGGAATATTTATCAGCTGTTAGAAACAATGAGTTAATTCTAAAAGTAAAGTTTTAAGGAGAAGTCCCATAATAATAAAATCTGACACACACAAAAAACTTTTATATGCCTGATGGAAACATTTTATGTATATTAAGTTATTTACTCCTCAAAAAGTCTGCTTAACTTAATCAATTACTGTAAGATAGTAATAATTTATACCAAAAACATAACCTTTCAAAGTAGAAACTACTATTTTAACCATTATCTATATATATAATATATATAAAAGGCTAATATGCTAAGTGTCCATCTGGGTAATGACGTCATGTAGCAACGCCCAGCTTCCTCTCCCTAGTGACTAGCCTCCTTGGAGTTTCTTCAGCCCAGAAACATGACTTGCTTTATAGCCAGGTGCAAACACTTTACACTGTAACCAAATATCTGTAAAGTGTTTTCCCATGCCTCATCTCATTTGATCCTCATAGAAGTCCTGGAGTAGGTAGATAGGAGACTCCGTGGAATCCTATTTTCTTTTCATTAGCCGGAAAAATGGAGATTTGGAAAGCTTAGGAACTTGACCCAAATGAAAAGAAGTAAGAAATGCTGAACTTTGAAAATGACTTCAGGTTTTCTCACTGCATAGAATATAGTCAAACACTGCTGCAGTTAAATATTTTACCCTTTGTTCTCCCTGTGTGATCTACAATAATAATCTACTCCGTGTTGATATTTACTGCTGTGTTGCTGATAATTATCTGAAAGAGAAGTTGGGGGTGCGTCACTGGGCTGGAAAAAGTTTACCTAAATCAGAAAGCAGGTCTAACTAAGCAAGTTTATTCTATATCTATAAAAGGCTAAGTTGACTCGCACATGCGCCATTCATATAAAGCTCTCGCTGGTGCCAATCGCACGAGTGTGTTTCCATCTGTCATTGTCAATCATGAATTTGGTTGACACTTCCTTTATAGAGAAAGGGCGAATAGCGATTTTAAAATATTTCTTCTAATGAATTTTCTTTCAGTGTGCATGAATTCATGCACCAGGCCACTAGTATACAGATTTTTTAAAAAATCAAAGAGATTAACTCTTATTAACATAAGAATGTCCAAACCTGTAGAGAATTTTTATAAAAATTTGTTGTTTGAGTTAAACAGAGGATATGCCTGGAAGTGAGATCTCAATAGACAGAAAAATGTTTCCCTGAATAACAGTTTGTAGTTTCTGTGTGTATTTGAGATTAAGGAGGGAATGTAAAGGAGGATTACATGAAGGTGGCGATCTGATTACTCTCTTGAGGGTGGTCACAGTTTAGGAGAGCTCTGAAGAGTCATTTCAAAGGTGTGTTAACCTAGAAGCACGGAAGCCACTGACAGAACTTGATTAAGGCCAAGATAAGCCTTTTGCTAAAGCAGTTACATGCCTGGGGCAGGATTTTGGTTAACACCTGAATCCAGCTGCCCGGTTAGGAATTTATGATCAGATCACCCTGTGCGGTGACTTTCCATAGAAAGCCTTTTTTCATCCACATTCACTTGCCCAAGGCCACACAACTCATGGTTGGAAAAGCTGGGATCTGGTTAAGGCCACGGTGCTCTTAGCCTCCTGTGTAACATAGAGAAATGTGCTCAGTGTATGGCTGTTCTATATTTTTAAAGCCCTCACGAGTGAACATATACTGTTGTTCATATATGCTTGTATCAGCATATGGAACAGTATGGAAGGAGACACACCTGGGCATCTGCATTGGTTACTTTAGGAAACAGAAACAGAGAAAGATGGGAGACTGGGGTAGACACTAAGTTATTGTTTGTATATAATTCTTTGATTTTTTTAAATGATAAGCTCATTATTTGGGGGGTTTATCACATGTTTATAACTTTTTAAAAATATGTTGTTACTTATTTTAGAGAGAGAGAAAGGGAATGGTATAGAGAGATAGAAATATTGATGAGAAACATAGATCAGCTGCATCCTGCACACCCCCTACTGAGGATCGAGCCCACAATTTGAGTGCGTGCCCTGACCAGGAATCCAAACAGTAACTTCTTTTTTTTTTTTAATATATTTTATTGAATTCTTACAGAGAGGAAGGGAGAGGGATAGAGAGTTAGAAACATCGATAAGCTGCCTCCTGCACACTCCCTACTGGGTATGTGCCTGCAACCAAGGTATATGGCCTTCACTGGAATTGAACCTGGGACCTTTGAGTCCGCAGGCCAACGCTCTATCCATTGAGCCAAACCAGTTAGGGCCAAAAAGTAACTTCTTATCAACGCTCAACCACTGGGCCACACTGGCTGGGCTATATAACTTTTCTAAAGAAAGAAATTTTCAGATTCTTATGACAGGCAGTCAAGTGGGGCCTCAGCATCATGCCTGAGTCTCTAAAGTGTCCAACACCCCAAGTTCTGGTGAAGTCTGAATCCAAAATAGAAAGTCACAGGCACCCTCCAGGATTTAGAGAGGGACAGATCTGAACTTTCCAAGGCTGAATGGAGAAACATTTGCATGTTTGCCTTTGTGTGTGTGTTGGGGGGGCGGGGGGGGGGGGAGTGTTTGCATGGGTGTGTTGCTTAAAACCGATTTCCTAACATTCGGGCTTCAGCTTTGATCAGCTTGCTGTAACACATTTCCAGTTACAAGGCTGATGCAGTCAATGTACAGGCTACAAAATGATCTTTTGGTTAAAACCTGAATCCAACTCTAAGAATCTTTATTCCCAAAAGTAGTGAGCACTTATAAGTTCTCCCCAAAGAGAGATCTGAAGTGACCATTTCTAGAAAGATTATAATTCACCACAAACTATCTACTTGTCTTCTTTTATTAAATAGGTGTTCAAGGATGTTCAGGAACCTTCTGTTTAAAGGCTAAAATCTAATGGAGTGTTGAATCACAACCCTGGAAATCAAATAAGATTTTGAAGGACAGTTACAATGTGTGTACATAACACACCTATCGACACAAGACACACAGTGGAATGGCTACACAGACAAACAAAGAAATGATAATAATAGCTCACATTTACCCAGGGCCTGTTAAAGACCAATCACTGTGCTAAGCATTTTGCATGGATCTCCTCATGTAATCCTTATGATAAGTCTTTGAGAAGGTACCATTATGATTTCTATTTTGTAGATGAGGAAACTGAGGTTTAGAGAAGTTAAGTAACTTTTACCAAGTAATACAGACAATAAGTAGTAGAGTCAGGATGTGTAGTTTGGGAGCCAGGATTTCAACCTCCTAACACCCTGCTCCCGTGGATCTATAAATGATTCAGAATGTCTACAGAGCTACTTTCAGATAAGGCATCTTCTCAAGATAGTGCAGTGCCTTAGAAACAGACTGAAGCCAAACTGCCTTAGTTCAGACCCCTGCCCTGCCACACAATCTCCATAACCTTGAGAAAATTACTCAACCTCTCTGGGCTTCAGTTTCCTCATCTGTAAAATAAGAATAATGTTGATACCAACCTCACAAACTTGTAGGGAGGATTAAATAAATATGTGTAACATTAATATTAAAGGAGATAATAGATGTAAACTAATTCCTGTGAAAACATTCCTGCACATAGTAAACTCCCCAATGTTAGCTAACATTAGTTCAGTGGAGAGGAAGACACTCCCAGAAATATCTCAAAGTTCCCTTTACCAGGATTGTATTAAAGAATGTATCAACTAGCCCTAACCGGTTTGGCTCAGTGGATAGAGCGTCGACCTGTGGACTGAAAGGTCCCAGGTACGGTTCGGTAAGGGCATGTTCCTTGGTTGCAGGCACATCCCCAGTAGGAGGTGTGCAGGAGGCAGCTGATCGATATTTCTCTCTCATTGATGTTTCTAACTCTCTATCCCTCTCCCTTCCTCTCTGTAAAAAAAAATCAATAAAATATTAAAAGAATATCAAACTAATTTTTTTTAAAAAAAGAATGTATCATCTAGTTTCCATGTCAATGCTAAGTAAGTGTTTAAGGACAAGCCAACCCTTAAATTTGGCAAGATTCAGACTTTCTTTGTCTGCAAAGCTATATAACATGACTTACTTGAAGAATCTGGACTCTGTCGGGAGGATGACTTCTCCAAGGACTCAGATTCTTTTTGCTCCATCTTCTCAGTGGTTGAGCCCAACTCTTCTTTCTTTATTTCTCTTTGTTCGTTCTGTTCCTCATTTTCAATCTTGTTGGTATGAATCTGGTCAGGTTCTTCCAGCATTCGATCTTTTTTACCTCTGACAGCCCAGTGCATTGACTACATTAAGAGCAGACATATAATATAAAATCAATACTATATAGCTTTCTGTATTTAAAGTTTAATATGTGGTGACACCTGACTTACTATTATAATGCTAATTTCAGAGTGTTAAACTTGACTAATAACCAAATATTAATCAATTAATCCAGATATTAATTAATTAATCTTCCCTGGTTTGGAAGACTAATGATATAAGGAGACATCTATATTATGGTACAGAACAAAGGGACAAACATCAGAGAGATTCAAAGAATTAGATGTTTCCTCAAAAAGTTAAACCTAGACTTACCACATGAACCCAGCAATTCCATTGACAGGTATATACCCAAAAGAACTGAAAACAGATGTTAAAAGAAAAACTTATACATGAATATTCATTCACAAAAGCCAAAGGTGGAAACAACCCAAATGTCCATCAACCAATGAATAGATAAATAAAAGGTGGTATATCCATATAATGGCATATTATTTGACCATGAAAAAGAAATGAAGTACTACAATGTGGATAAATCCTGGAAACATTATGCTAAATAAAGAAGCCAGATACAAAAGCTACATATGTACATATGACTCCACTTACATGAAATATCCAGAATAGACAAATCCATATAGAAAGAAAGCAGAGTTGTTATTACCAGGAGCTGGGGGAGAGGAGGATAGAAAGTGATTGCTACGGGGTTTCCTTTTGGGGTGATGAAAAAGTTCTGGAACTAGATAGTGATGATGGATGAACAACATTGTGAATGTACTTAATGCCACTGAATCTTACACTTTAAAATGGTTAAAATGGGCTCTGACAGGGTAGTTCAGTTGGTTAGAGCATTGTCCCCATATGTCAAGGTTGTGAGTTCAATCTCCATCAGGGCACATACAGGAATCAACCAATGAATGCATAAATGAGTGAAACAACAAATCAATCTCTCTGTCTCTCTCAAATCAATAAATAAAAATTTAAGAAAATAAAAAATAATAAAATAAAATGGTTAAAATAATGAGTTTTATGTGTATTTTACCACCAAAAAACAATGAGGCTGTGTGTCTCAAGTCATGCCAGAGATTAAGCCTACTACTATTGTAACTATTGTAACTACTATTGTGACCTTCCATTAAGCTTGACCAATGCAGAGTTGGCATTAGAAGTCTGGCAATAAAAATATTAGAATTCTGGATTATACATCTTCTCTTTAAGAAAACACATGGCACGAAGCAGGAATTCAATCAATATTTACTATGAAACATATGTGCTAACTTTAAGTGGATTCACTTTATATGAACTTTTCCAAGTCCAGTTATCCTCAAATAACAAGAACTTTCTAAGTATATTTCCTTTTTTTCTTTAAGGATAATGTGAATGTGTACATGTACACTATAGAGAAGGTTTCTGGAAGGAAACAAGAAACTGCGATGGTGGCTTTCTGGGTGAGTAGAACTGGGGTCTGAAATAAGGATGAACTGACTTTTATTACATATCCTATTGTACTGTATTGATTTTTTTAAAAAACAAAGTGTGTTAGTTTACAATTTTTAAAAAAAGCAGTGGTCATAAATCAACAGGGTTTGGTATTGCCCATTGATTTCTGGTATAACTTTTATATTTTTAGAAATATACACATTCCGGAGAAACCAAGATGGTGGCATAGGTAAACACCGGAAACTGCTGCCTCAAACAACCACTTTAAAAATACAACTAAAAGACAGAACACACATCATCCAGAACCACAGGAAGGCTGGCTGAGTGGAAATTCTACAACTAGAAGGAAAGAGAAAAGCACACTGAGACTCAGAGGAGGTGCGGAAGTAAAGTGCAGAGGTATGGAGGTGCACGCGGAAAGGGCTGGCAACTGAGGACGCGGTGCACATGGAGAGAACTGGCAACTGGGGAGCCGTTGTCTTTTTCAGCCAGGAGGGAGTCTCAAGCTCCTGACCACTCTGAACTCCAGTTCCAGGCAAGTCTCTGGGGACCCAGACTCATACGGGAGAAACTGGACTGTCTGGCATTGGTCTGAACTCGAGGGTGGCTTTCTCTCAGAAGTGCTTGCAACGATTACTGGGACACTGAGAAGCGGGGCCTCTTAGGACAGGACTGAGGAGCAGCCATAGTTGTTTGCTCCGCCCTGTTGATCCCCTGAGACCCCGCCCCACCCAAGCTGTGCGCAGAGGCTTTCGCATATGAAAGGCCTGGCCCTTTGTAATCTGAAAATTACCTAACAAACTGCAGCTGGATCAGAGAAACCCAGAACATCCAAAAGAAGGCCCAAGGCCCCACAGCAGCTTGCACTGCTTCATAGCTGGGCTCCTGCTGGGTAGCCTCAGGCAGAGGCTAAATTAGCACCTCCTTAGAGATCCAAGAGCCAGTGTACCCAGTGGTCAGAGTGGGACCATCCAGATTACAACTCCTCAGATCCATAAGGGACACACTCAGGAGGCAGACTCAGTGAGCACCAAAGCCCCACTGAAGTAAGTCTTGCCCCAGAAGGGTGTCTCCAGCATAGAAGTTCTCCCACTGCAGACACAGCTGATTCTCACAGCCAATTGGCTTGGAGGTCAATTCCTCCCAGTGATACCTACAACAATCAAGGCTTAACTACAACAAGACTGTGCACAAAGCCCACAAAGGGGTGCACCAAGAGTGTCCACCTCCAGTAATTGGGGAGGCTGAGCTATTGGGCCCTATAGGACACCTAGCACAGAAAGCCACTCTATCAACACAGGGAAGCGACCCGCAAGAAATCTAGTGAGACCCACGAGGTTATGAAAAAGGACCAACTAGAAATTAAGTATACACTGACTGAAATAAAGAATATTATACAGACTCCCAACAGCAGACCAGAGGATCGCAAGAATCAAGTCAAAGATTTGAAATACGAAGAAGCAAAAAACACCCAACCGGAAAAGCAAAAAGAAAAAAGAATCCAAAAATATGAAGATAGTGTAAGGAGCCTCTGGGACAGCTTCAAGTGTCCCAACGTCCAAATTATAGGGGTGCCAGAAGAAGAGAGAGAGCAAGATATTGAAAACCTATTTGAAGAAATCATGACATAAAACTTCCCCTACCTGGTGAAAGAAATAGACTTACAAGTCCAAGAAGTGCAGAGAGCCCCAAACAAAAGGAATCCATTCATGGATAATAGAGACCATTATAAACTTTTGAACAATAATAGATACAGAGGCAGAGCTGCCTCAAACAGATTGTCAAACTGCAGCGGGAAGGCTGGGGAGGGTTGGGGGGCAGGAGGGAGGGGGGTAAGAGATCAACCTAAGGACTTGTATGCATGCATATAAGCATAACCAATGGACATAAGACACTGGGGGATAGGGGAGGCTAGGGGACTGTCAAGGGCAGGGGGGAAAAAAGGACACATATGTAATACCCTTTGTAATACTTTAAGCAATAAAAAAAAATAATAATAAAAAATACATAAAAATAAATAAATAAAAGTAAAAAAAAAATGGTACACCTATGGATGAGGACAGTGTGGGAGGGGGTTAAGAGCAGAGGGTGGGGTGGGAACCAGGTGGAGGGGAGCTATGGGGGGGGAAAAGAGGAACAACTGTAATAATCTGAACAATAAAGATTAAAAAATTAAAATTAAAAAATTAAAAATATATAAATATACATGTTCCAAGACCCCTGAAACTCTCTGGAAACCTGATACAGAATTGTGTTGAATATGCTGGTGGGGGTCTTTTGCCCAGTGATTTTGTACTCATAATTTAACATTTAAGTTAAGCAATAAAGGTTACATATTCTGCATTCTCTCAAGGCTACAGCCAACTGTTTTCTTAGCTTATGTAAATAAAGTCCTATGTTTTCATTTCTTATCTAGCCCTCCCCCCATCCCCTTAGAGCAGCCTTTTTGGGGGAAGGCGGGGAGGCTGCTTGGCGCCAGCTGTGAAGACCTAAATGTGTGTCCTAAATCTACAAACTCCTGTAGGAAGAGAAATAGCACTAAAAGGAGGGGAAGAATTTTGAGAAACTGCATATTCATACTCCCCTTCACTCCCCTTCCCTTCACTCCTGGGAGTGAGGACAAGTCCATAACCCCTCCCCTTATCTCTTTGTTCTGCTTTCCCTCTCCATCCTTAAAAAAATCTCTGCCTGCACCGATATTAAGATGGGTTTTTGAGGATAGGAGTCCCCCATCTTCTTGAGATGCTGACATTTGAATACACCTGTTTCCTTTACACCAGTACCTATTTCACAAGTTCGGCTTTCTTTACAACAGGCAGTCAAACCTGGGTTGGGTTATAGTCTGTATGATTTTGCCAGCATAACCCTGACTTTGTATGGTGGGATCTGGAGTATGGGAGAAATAAAAAATAGGTCTTAAAAATGGAATCATTTTTTAGGTAGCATTCTCTGCACTTCTCTTACCTTGAAAACAATAAAAAAATATATTTTTAAAAAATATATTTTATTGATTTGTTACAGAGAGGAAGGGAGAGGGATAGAGAGTCAGAAACATCTATGAGAGAGAAACATCGATCAGCTGCCTCCTGCACACCCCCTACTGGGGATGTGCCCGCAACCTAGGTACATATGTTGTAATGTACCCCGCCAAACACAGAAGGACGCCTCAAAAATTAAAGAGTCACATTTATTGCAATCCGGAACTATGAGGGGCCATTCCCCAAATCTCATAGTGATAAGATGGTGGCAAAACCAGACTTATATAGGCAAAGATCACAAAGGTATTGATTACATCTCAAGGTTTGGAATGAGGAACCTGGTTTGCGAAAAAGCAGTTTACAGAAGCAGAAGCAGCATGTTAATTACAGTTTTGGGTCTCCGGATCACTGAATTGACAGAAACACATTATCTAGAGCCCTGGGGTCTGGAATGAGGAACCTAGTCAGACTTAAGTATGTTATCTAAATTACAGTTTTGGGTCTCCGGAACACTGAGTCAACAGGGACACATTAACTGGAGCCCTCTGACTTTGTGATAACTGTGCTGTCCTTCCCAGGTAAAGGAAAATGTGCTTTCTAAGATCAGT